TGTTGACATGACCATTTTTTGAATGATTTATAATTATGATGAGCTCAAGGTGTCTTTTTGCTAATGGCTCTTTCTTTATCTCTCTTTATTTGGTACGATAGCTCTTGTCTAATATTGGATGAGCGAAAGCGCTCTCTTGTGAAGAAACTTTTCGGGTAGATTCTTGCGGCGACTGATCAGTTTTGACGACATTTTTTTTTCAACTTTTTAATTATCTATCTGTTCCTCAGCACAGATTGCTTTACGAGTACTTTGTATTCATACTAATATAAGTAAATAAGTATCAGAACTAACGTTCTGAATTCCGACAGGCAATGATTCGAGTTCCGTTGCTTGGCGGGTGTTACTTTTCGAAGCTTCCCATCTTAACCATAACTCCAAGAGTAATGCGCAATTTCTTTAGCTGTTGGCTTTTTGCTGGTTAATCACTTTTCAAAAATATGGTATTTTTCATTTCCCCCAGAAGTGTTAACTTTGTTGCGTGGAGTCGCTCTTCATATCTTCTCTCCTTTCTATGCTGATCTTTTCTGGTGGCGCATGAATCTGAAACTGTCATTGTTCTTATCGTAGTTTGTAAAATTATAAAAATCGAAAGTAAAAAGAAAAAATATAAAACAAAAAATTACATCTTTCGAAGTTTAATTGATTCAAATCACCACACAACTCTTCGACTTTCTCGATTTTCTTGTCAGTGACTAGTTTCATAGCAAAAGTTCCATTTACCTTATTTCCTGTCCAAGGTGCTGGATCGCTCCGGGCGAGAAATACGAAAGGTATAACGGACGCAATGACTATTACACTTATTCCGAAAAACAAGCGCGACCACTGAAAAGTTTGAATTACCTAATTAAGAAGTGAAAAAAAATTTATTTGATGTTTTTCGTTGATATTTATTGTTTACATTAAAAGGTGTTAGAGACCAAGTAGTGACGTATGCCGCTATGAGTTTTGCTTCATAGGCTGGAACCATGAAACAGTTTTACGTTGCTGTAAACCGACTGGATAGTTTCAGGGGTAAGGGTGGGGTGCGCGAGATGGCGGATATATCAGGGTAGCGCAAAGGGTAAGCAAACAGCAGTTACACATTCCTGGGCGCTTTCTTGTTAGTTCGATGATTGAAATGTACAAGAAGATCATCAAAAAGGATCTTGCTGAAATCTGTTAGATGCCTTGCGCAGAAGGAATTGCCAGCAACCAATAAGAATAGCAANAAGAAAAAATATAAAACAAAAAATTACATCTTTCGAAGTTTAATTGATTCAAATCATCATACAACTGTTCAAATTTGTCGGTTTTTTTGTCAGTGACTAGTTTCATAGCAGAAGTTCCATTTACCTTATTTCCTGTCCAAGGTGCTGGATCACTTCGGGCGAGAAATACGAAAGGTATAACGGACGCAATGACTATTACACTTATTCCGAAAAACAAGCGCGACCACTGAAAAGTTTGAATTACCTAATTAAGAAGTGGAAAGAAATTTTATTTGGTGTTTTTCGTTGTTATTTATTGTTTATTAAAAGGTGTTAGAGACCAAGTAGTGACCTATGCCGCTATGAGTTTTGCTTCATAGGTAGGAACCATAAAACAGTTTTACGTTGCTGTAAACCGACTGGATAGTTTCAGGGGTAAGGGCGGGGTGCGCGAGATGGCGGATTATCAGGGTAGCGCAATGGGTAAGCAATCGCAGTTACACATTCTTGAGCGCTTTCTTGTTAGTTCGATGATTTGAAGTGTACAGGAATATCATCAAAAAGGGTTTGCTGAAATCTGTTAGGTGCCTTGCGCAGAAGCAATTGCCGACAACAAATAAGAATAGCAAAACCTCATACACCGCGGGGCTAACTGTAGAGAGAATTAACAAATGGGTATACAGTCAGTGACTGCCATTCATTAGTACTACTCGTTCGCAAAGACTGATACCTGTTCTGGTGTATTATCTGGACACACTGCATTGACAGCGACCGGTATAAGAAGAACTGTGACACAGAGCAGAAATGAGGTTACCGCCATTACAATATGAACATGCTGTCTAGCCACCTGAAATAAGAGTGAATGTAGTATATGTATTGGGTTGACACATAATTTTTTCTCCAAGTTCTTTACATTTTTGTAAGGAGTCTATATTGGCTCTAAAGCTTTTGAGGCTCTAATTTTTCTACAGTACAAACCTCGAAGTAGTAAATATGTTAGTATACATGTATTATCGTCGTCTTTAATGACGTTCCCCTCTTGGTAGCTCGTTATTTCACCTCTCAGAGGAGCCCTAACTAAACCTTGCCCCTAAATGGTGCGGGATAAAGCTTCGAAATTGGTAAAATTAGTGGCCAGTGAGCTGCCTTCGAATTGAACACAAAGGATGACTCGGTTGGAGGTGTAGTCACTTCAAGAGGCGTGGGACTCTTCGACACTGCCTATTTGCTGAACACAGCCGAAGTTTTTACGAGAAGGCTCCTTTCGTATATCCTTTCAGGCTTTATGTGCTCTTCAATTTTTCCACGATTAGCCTAGCTTACACTTTCTAAAGCTCAGCACATACCTACCATTTGAGCGCCTTTCAAAGTACCAACTGCGTTCCAACCACTGGCAACTATAGCAAGTGTGTAAGCTGTCTGAGCCAGAGCGGGAGTCTTCACCTGAAGTTACAAAATCAAATTACTCGTAATTATCTCATCAAAGAGTGGCCGTTAAGGTTCACGACGTCACTTTTCGAATGTACTGGAAGTAGTAAGATGGTTAGGTGGTCATTTATAATAGCTCCCTCTTTGAGGATAGTTCAACAGCAGAACAAGTCACATACATATATCTTCAGTCGTAGGTCCTGCCTCACCGATAAGGCTATGGCTTGTTCCTAACTTTTTACTAGATGGTAGTACTGCTCACCAATTTTGAGCACTGTGAGGAATTTCAAGAACTTGCCTTGAAGAAGCCGAGCCTCTGACCTCTTTTTTTGTGGAACGCTGTTGCTAGCAGTACGTATGATCTATCACAGCGATAGAGAGCTTCAATGGTCAGTAAAAGGAGTTCCTCTTTTGCCATTTACAACTGGCCAGAAAAAAAGTCAAAAAAAGTTTTGTGGAAAGGTCGTGTTCCGATGAAGAATTTGATTTTTCGAATACCTGAAGGCTAAAACTCACAAATACAAGGGAAAGGAATGATAGCCCCATAACTCCATAGGAACTAGTGGCGAAGAGCACCAAACGCCATTTATCCGAAACACAAGTTGCTCGATCGGATATCGGTCCCACGATAAACTTTCCCATTGCCGACAGAATGTAGGGTAGGGCGGTGGTGAAGCCTGTGCTTCTTACATTGTAGTGAAGCACCTGAAATGGACTGCGATTTAGCTGCATCTCGTGTTGACATAATTATTAGGAAGGAATTCAAAAGATTAAGCCATAGCGAAGTTGGTGTCAGCTGAGGAATTTTTGAATCAAACACGGGGTAGCTTCCTGTACTATCAAAATTTGCTTTAGGTATATCTACGTATATATCTCCAGTTATATTTTCAATAATGCCACTTTGAACGCCTTTCGGGAAAAGAAGCTCTCTTTGACGTCATTATGGGTTATGCTTAGGTAGTGAGCGTTAGGACGGAGCTGTCAGCTTCTGGTAGCGCTAGCTGCCTTTGTAAACTTCTCATCAATCGGTTATCGAGAGGCGCGGTAACCCACCAGAAGGAGGGGTTCTCGATCTTCTCCACCTATTTGTAGCTCATTCAGCTAACCGCTGCCTCTTGAGCCAGTGAGTTCTAAAGTAAAAAAAAAAGTTGTAAACAAACCTTGTTGATATATGTTGGTCCGTAAAGTAGGAAGATT